CTCACTCCCACTAACTTGGCTGAAATACATGCAATGGTGGGACCAATAAAAAATCGTCACTACATTGGCTTAACTTTTATTATAGCAACTCTAATTTTATAGAAGAAAAATAAGTAAATTACCTGATTTTATTCCAGCAATACGAACATTTTGGATCGGCCATCTTGAATCCGCCTTGTTAGATTTTTTTCATTTAATTAAAGGATTCGTAATCAGCATGTCTGAAAAAACCTGCTCAGACTCATTTTGATAAAATATTTGAATGATGTAATCCTACGTACAAAACTACATGTCAAGAAAGCCATTCTTGATTAGCCATTTCTACATTTTCCCATTTGGATAACAGATTTGTGATCAGACTTCAAAAACCTTTTGATACCAATTATAATAAAAAAAACCTTCCAATGCATCCAATTCATGAAAAATTTTAGCATAATATCCGAATATTTGGTTTTCATAAGGAAATTTGATATAAAATCAATGTTCCCCGCATTTCTGGGATGTAAGACTGTTTTTTCTTGTTCATGTGGGTCCCGAACAACAATTTTTTACGGTTAACTGAAGTTCCGCAGAGGGGTAAAAAATCAGACTTTTTTAACATCCACCTTTGTAATTATTGTATATTGTACATATAATACGTATTCCAATTGAATTTTAAACTGTGTTTTAAATCATTTATGTGTAATAATTTAAATTAGTAAGTAAAGTATGATTTGTTAAGTTATTTCTAATCCATTTATAGATAATAGAAACATTTATTTCAAATCTTTGGTTGCTTCTTAAGATTGAAAAAAAATCACAAAATTCAAAAATTTTCCGCATTAACTACGTGTTTATAAAATAATAAAGCATTTTGAGCTTAGGATTGAATGTAAGAAACAATAAAAAAATCTTTTAAGAAAATTTTTTAGAAGTGTCTGCAGTATGTTAATTATTAATATGATCAATTACGAGATTCGTTTAACTGACGTAAGATTATTTCAAGATTCCGTTTTAGGTATTTTTTAATCTCGTTTCATATAAACCTAATAAATTATAAACAAATATTGTACAAAGTAAAAGATGAAATATTATTTATCAATTAAAATAAACTTGTACCTTCTTCACACAAAAAGTATGTTAAATTTTTAAAATTCTATGATTTATGCAATATAGTAATTATGTAATCAGTCAATAAAACAACTTATTGTCCATTCTTTTTAACTCAAAGTACATTAAATTGAAAAAAAAAACTCCACTGAACCTTTATTTCCTTGCAGAATTTAATTCTCTTAATTTTCACTTGTATAAAATATTAAAAAATTAAATTTTATTGTAAAATAATGTTCAAGTGTTACATTTCGGAAACAGATAAAAATATAAAATATTCACAATCAATTTTAAATGTTAGTCTTTTTTTAATTATTGCTATTTTGAGAAATGTATTATTTGATTTCAAAAATTTTTTAAACTGAATTACAGATAATAATGAAGAAAATGATGAAGAGTAGACAATTTAAGCAAAACGTGAAAAACATTAGGTAAATGAATAATAACACGTTCAAATGAGATAATAACACAAATAGTAAGATCAGTAAGATAAATGTACAAAAATAATAAAATACAGATAAAAAATTAAATAATAAGCTATAAAAATAAACATGTCAACTTAAAACTCGAAATATTAATTAAAAATCGCACTGGATAAATAACAAATAAAATATTTAGATTAAGCAATCGCAGATGTACAAAATATTCCACAAAAGTATGAATTATAAACAATCGTATTAGATTACCAAGAAACTTGCTTTACAAATGTGTAAAAAGATGAATTCTATTTTTGATATTCAATTTTTATTAATATATTCAAATTCAAATAAGATATGCTAAATGTGTGATAGATTTTATCACCCAAAATTATGTTTAAGGTAACAAAGAATTGATAGTTCTGTTAGAGAAAACATGTTGATGTAAAAACATTTTTATGAAAAATAAGTATGATAATTTTTATATTACGCATGTTTTATGACACATCCCATTTGCAAGGGGATTTATATTGCTTACATCTTTTATTCCATTGCTGCAACTAATTTTACTTTTTAAAATAAATTTTTAATTTTTGAAGTCTTTTAAATTCTGACTTTTTTTGAAATTCTATAGGCTTTATTTTATCTTTTATCAGATTGATGTATTTATACGTAGACCTTTAAGTAAAAACTCTAATTACATTATTGACCAAAATTTCGAAAAATTAATATTTAAAGTATATCTAGAACATGTAAAAAATTAAAAACTTGTTAGGATACTCATTTCTGTAAAACTTAAAAAATAAAAATTTTTGTAACTTTTTTGACAAAATATTTTCAGTGGAGTTTTCTCTTTTAACAGACATGATAACATAGTAATAAATAATAACAAATCAACAAACTATAGATAAATACATTATTTTAAGTCGAAAGATTAATTGAAGATTAATAAAAATTCAAAAATATGCCAATAACAAATGTATGTATATGTATACTAAAAAGCTATTGAACCTTTAACTTGGCAATATGTTTTAGATTCCTGTTGTATTCCTGTTTTTCATTGCTTGAACAGAGCACACGTACAACTATGAGAAATGTATAGATTGAAACGCATCTACATGCATTTTGTCATTTATCCATATAGCTGCTAATTCTCAGTCTTTAACAATTTAGCATTAAACATTGTAATATTTTTCTTTAAAGCAATAATGTTAAGAAATATTTGCTGTAAAAGTGCAACAAATTTATTTACAAAAATTCTTAAGGCTCCTGGATGGTGGCGAGGAAAACACCCAATTTTGTTGTGCATGCCATTTTCAAATAAAAAGACATTTCAATAAAACATCACTATAGATCGTTTCAGAACACTTCCGAAATTGGCCGAAAACTACCCTTTTCTCTCATCAATAAACAAACAGTCATAAAACGAAGCCTAAACATACGGGAAAAACAGCCGTTTAACGACTATCGAGAGAATGTGAAAACGTTCCTTCCGCATGCAAATCTTACTTTTCGGTCAATTTTACGACTTTCACGAATACGTTAAACGTTTAGAGCACAAGCACAGAGCGAATAATAAAGAAATACCATGCACAACAAAATAGGTTGTCAACATGTCACAAAGGACAGAATTCTCCATTGGAGGGAGTTCTGATTTCTGCCGCGACGGTACGTCGCCACCGTCAACGCAGAGTTCTCGGCTGACCATCCAGGAGCCTTAAAGCACTAATTAACTCTGCTATAAATAAAATTATCCTTAACATAAATTAACTAACCTGTTTGTAGAATGTTGCTTTTTGTACACATCTAAAAGTACGTTAATCTTTTAATGTAATTATAAAGATTTAAAAAATATTGCGAAAGTTAGCATATAATTGCTCTGGAAAATTATACTCACGCAATATATCGATGTAATATACAGTTGAAAAATAAATATAACATTTATATAATTCCCAACTGTTTCGAGTATAATTTGCACGATCACATCATATAATTGCATATTTTTCGATTCCAATAAGATTTTCGAAGTCAACGTCTCTTAGTAAATAATATATTGTTATAATGTTGTCACAGTAACTTTGGTAATAAGCATGCGATCGAAGGTTGTGTCGCGACTTAATTAAAAGGTATTTTAAGTAATTTTTAAATAATTGCATGAAATTATCTCAAATATATAAAACTTCTCCAGTTTTCAAAATACTACGTTTCTCATCCACACTCACGCTTTCACACACACATACACACGCGCGCGCGCACCGACCACGCAGCAACGCACACTTTACCACTCACCCACATAGACATACACGCATACGCACACCTTTCTATTCATTCACACAGCATACACGCACACACATTTATGTATACATATTTTACATTTTTCATTATAACACAGTAAGTCAAGCATAATATTACCACTGATGGATGTGACAAAAATGTCGTTAAAATTTATTATTCAAAATAAAACATTTAAATTGCTGACTATATATATTACTATTTAATCGCAATCTTTCCTTTTATTTTTTCCTTTATTAATTTATATAAGGATGTTTTCAAAGAAGTATAATTCTAAAACGAGAAAACAGTTTTCTAAATAAAATATTAATAGATTAAGTATTTTCATAATCAATGTATGTACGTCAAGTATAATGTGCGTTAGATTTTAGAGATGGCGAAATAGCGAAGGATGAATGTTGAAGAAAAAAATTAAAGGTAAGTTGTACATTTGCCTTCCAACATACTATCAAGTTTGTCAATTTTTGTTCATATTGTTAATTTAAAGAAACTTAGATATAATCGATAAAGTAAACACGCGTTTATGTCAATATGCAGAAATATGAAAATAAATTAGAAAAGAGTGGCTTATTGATTCGGCAATTTAAAATAATCTGATAACAGTGAACAGTTCACGATACATATTTACACCCTCCACACTGATAATCCCATCGAGACACACTTTCAGTTACCTTATATATTTCTCCATTAGGTATCATTAGATATCATGAAGCAAACATCATTCAAACTGAGAATAGAAAAATTTCTTTCATGATGAGACTCACAGAAGCTAACACTCTCACAATGTGCACCACATATCACAAATAGTTGGTCTTGTACTACGTTTACGCGAGCGTTACTTCTGTAGTAATTTACGATAATTTACTCGTTTACGCGGAGTAAATTATCGTAAGTTACTACAAAATCCCGTTTACGCGAAGGAATTATCGTAAGTTACTACAGAAATAACGCTCGCGTAAACGTAGTATGAGTTCATTTGGTAATTTTAACAGATTGAATATTCAAACTGTGTGTGTGTGTAACTAGTTGATTTCATCCAAAATTGTCCAATGTACACGTGAAATAAAATAATGCACTTTGCTCTAATAAAATATACAAAATGTGTAGAATATATCGGGATTTTATGTGTGTGTGTGTGTGTGTGTGTGTGTGTGTGTGTGTGTGTGTGTGT